AAGGTGGTTTTTTTCAAAATTAACCTTGACTTGTGAACCACTCTTTGGTCTCCTGAAGAAAGGAACGGAGTTCCAATGGGACGGCCGACGCCAAGCTGCTTTTGAACAAATCAAGCAATACTTACAGAACCCACCCGTGTTGTCACCGCCTGAGTCGGGGAAACCGTTGATTCTGTATCTTTCAGTGACTGAAACTACAATGGGCTGCATGCTTGCACAAGAGTCTGAGGACAAAGTGGAGAGAGCTATCTACTACAGCTACCTTTGTTGTCACCGCCGGAGATGGGGAAACCATTGATATTATATCTGTCAGTAACTGAAACGACAATGGGCTACATTCTTGCACAGGAGTCTGAGGACAAAGTGGAGAAGGCTATCAATTACCTAAACAAGAAGATGCTGGAATATGAGACCCACTACACTTCGCTGGAAAAGGCTTGTCTAGCCTTGGTATGGGCTACCAGGAAGTTGACGCACTACCTATTAGCTCACGGGTAGGCTAGCCCGTTGGTTGCTTCTTCTCTTTGAATTCGATTTGAAGTACATGACTCACAAGTCTGTGAAAGGGAGAGCGGTAGTGGAGTTCCTAGCCGATCACCCAGTGGACGGAGATGAAGCAGTTGAGTACCTATTCCCAGATGAGGCCATTTTGCATGTCCAAGATGAAACTTGGACGATGTACTTTGACGGAGCGTCAAACCAATACGGGTATGGGATAGGGGTGTTGCTAATAGCCAACAATTCCCGTATCCCTCTAGCATTCAAACTTCATTTCAAAGTCTCGAACAATGAGGCAGAGTACGAGGCGTGCATTGTCGGTTTAGAAGCCGCCCTAGAACTAAGGGCAAAACGGTTAGACATCATCGGGGACTCAAACCTTGTTGTATCTCAAGCTAAAGGAGATTAGAAAGTCAAAGAAGAAAAGATGAGAATCTACCATCAGACCTTGGACTTGCTGATTCCTCGGTTTGATAAACTGAACTTCGCTCATCTATTAAGAGAGAACAACAAGTTCGCAGATTCACTAGCAACTCTATCCTCTATGATAGACATTCCTTTTGGAGTCCGGATGCGCCCGATCATCATTGACCAGAAATTTGTGCGAGCCTATGAGCTAATTGCTGCCATAGATGAGGTACAAGAAGAGAATCCCTGGCACTACGACGTTTAGAACTTCTTGGAAGAGGAAGCGTATCCACCAGGGGCAAATGCCAAAGATAAGAGGGCAATTCGAAGAATGGCTACTCAGTTCATCATTTGCGGGGGTAAACATTACAAGAGAGGTCATCTGGGAATGCATAAGCTGTGTGTTGATGCTGAAGAGTCCAAGCGCCAGATGGAGGCCATCCATGGAGGAGAGTACGGAGTGCACATGAACGGGGTGATGCTAGCCCGGAAGATCCTTAGGCAGGGTTACTACTGGTCCACCATGGAGGAGAATTGTATTGGCTTTGTCCGGCGATGCCACAAATGTCAGATCCATGCAAACCGCATGAACATTCCGTTGTCGAAGCTATACAATATGACTTTGCCATGGCCATTTTCTGTCTAGGGGATTGATGTGATCGGGGTTGTTACTCCGAAGGGGTCTAATGGGCATGAGTTCATTCTGGCCGCGATAGACTATTTCACAAAGTGGGTTGAGGCCCAATCTTATGCGGTGTTGAAGGCCTTGCATGTTCCAAAGTTCATCAGGAACAACATCATCTGTCGCTACGGGGTCCCAAATGAAATCATTTAAGATAATGGTTCCCACTTCAAGAAAGAAGTGATCGACTTGTTAGACAAATACAACGTGGCTTTTCATAAGTCATCCACATATCGGCCGCTGACCAACGGAGCAGTTGAGGCCGTCAACAACAACATCAAACACATTTTGCAGAAGATGGTGGAAACCTACCGGGACTGGCCAGATAAGTTGCCATTTGGTCTGTGGGGCTACCAGACATCAAGTAGAACTTCTACTGGGGCGATTCCGTATTTTTTAGTTTATGGGATGGAGGCCGTTCTGCCTATCGAAATTGAGGTTCCGTCATTGCGAGTACTGGCTGAGTGTCAGATAGCTGAGGCAGATTGGCAGCAGAGCAGATCCGAAGAACTCATGCTCTTTGATGAGAGAAGGCTAAAAGCACTGTAGCATGTTCAGGGTTATCAGCGACGAATTGCCAGGGCTTTCAACAAGAAAGTTAAGTCCAGGAATTTGAAAGAAGGAGATTTGGTGCTCAAAGTCAACCGAGCTCCCATTCACGACCCTAGGGGCAAGTCCAGACCCAATTGGACTGGTCTTTATATCATCAAGTCTATCTGGTCGGGCGGAGCTGTTGTTCTGATGGATCTAGATGGCCTAGAGTTCTCCCAACCGATCAACATGGACAAGTTGAAGAAATATTTTTCCTGAGAGGCTCGCTAGGCCGAAAATCCGAAAGGGCGACCTAGGCAAAAGTTAGAGCACAAAAAAATTTGAAATTATAAAAACTGAGCTCGCAAGGTTGAAAACCCGCAAAGGGCGGCCTTGGCAAAAGTTATAGCGTAAAAGGTGAGGGTTAATACATGAGTGAACCTGAGCCGAACTACGTAAGGCTTGATTCCCATCTTTGGGATACGTAGGCAACTTCATCCTGAAGTCCAGCCATAAACACTTCCCCGATCAACTTTGTCCATGTGATCATGTTTGGTCATCTTTGTCTATTCAACATTCAAGAGCTTGGTTGTGATCTCTAGTGTAGTGCTACTCAGACTAGGGGCAACTTTCCAGTTTCTAGAATCCGGGATTGTGCATCTCAGTGACAGATCTCAGGCATGTCCAGTTCTAATCCATATCGAAAATGGTTTTGAAAAGTTTTAATAAAAGTTGATTTTGTTCAAATTAATCTTTTTACAACTTAGACCATTTTTGGACCAAATGGAAAATTTTCAGTACCCACAACCTTCAATTTCATTGATTTCAATATAGAGTTCTCCTACTCTTGAATACACAATTGAAATTGCTTTTCATTACATTCATAAAGAAAACTTGAAAGTTTTGATTAAAACAAATAGATCCGGGGCATAGTCAGGTGTCCCTACGTCCCCTCCCAGAGTTGGTCGAAGCCTTTGATGCCAAGCTAGGCCCAATCTGTGCCTCTTCATTAAGCCAATCTATGCACTCGTCAAAGAGGATACAGCTGAAAATGGGAGTGGGGGCTAGAAGCTCTCTCGTCCTCCAGGCTGCGGTATACCGAGTAGGCTGCACGCCTCGGACTGGAAATGTAACAGGGTATTCCATCCCCTCCTCTAGGCAAGTCTGATCATGTCTGAACTGGCACCGGAACCGGAACGGAAAGTAAAACACGCAGTGTGTCTGGCCAATCAATTGGATCCTGGGCTGGTGAGTCATGCTATAGCTCATCGCTGGTAGATTGAGCCAAGGGCAGTGCCAAGCAATGCGGTCTGCGGACAAACTGCACATCCAGTCATACCACCATCCCTCATCTGGAGCATCGACCAGACGTCGCCGGAAGGAATAGCTGCGAGCTGAATATGCTGAACACGAGTCCACCACTCTCAACTTGTCCATCAACCACACCTAGGGAGGGATGAAAAATGAGAGATTAAAGAATAGAGAGGTGTACGTTGAGAGAAAAACCGAGCCTGAGGGCCGAATGATGTGAGCAATACATATGTGAGATGGGGTGGGAAATATTACCTGCAATAGTAATGGGCTCCCCGCAAACCTAGCCGTCTCCCGGCGATGAAAAGCGTCCAAGCCCATCAATGTTTCGGCTAGCATCATGGCAATGCAACTCTTACCATCTCTTAAGCCCTCAGTAACCTTGATCAAACGAGTGCTAAACCCTCCCGAGCCCGTGGCAAGCAAGAGGTGAGATAGCATGCATAAGTAAAACGCATGTCGCCGATAACCTTGCCAATGATGGTCGCCGCGACCACCGGCATCAGAAAACCTACAAACCAATCTCAGAATGTCCAGCTCTCCGTCGCGAATCAATGACCGAGCGTCATGCAAAGTAAGGCCGCACATCCTTCCTAAAGCTTGAACGTGGTCGAACCGGAGTTGAGGCAAAATTTCTTTATCATGTTCAGATTCCATTAAAGCTTGGAAATCCTTGAAAGTAGGACACATCTCTTGACCGCAAAAGCTAAAGACGTGTGTTACCGGCTTCCAAAATCTTGCCGTGGCATAGAGGAACGGAAAACGCAGCGGGGTGCGACCCAACGTGAATAGTGCATTTATGTCGAAGCCCTAGAAATTCAGCTTTTCCGAGCCATCCAAGTTGGCAATCCAATTTGTGAGATTTTGGATAAGGAATTCTTCCATTTGGTGCAAATAAGTGTTGAAATGAGAAAAACTATGAAGTTGGGGCTTTTAAAGAAGATAAGGTGTTGAGTGGAAGACAGGCGTCAACATTCTGGAGGTACTTGCCATTTTTGGCCGATCGACCAAATGTAGTGCCGATCGACCATCCATTTTGGCTGATCGGCTAAAAATGTTGGCCGATGGCCATTTCTTGTGGCCGATGGCCTCTTCCTATGGCCGATGGCCTCTCCTCTTGTTCTATGAGCAGTGTATGTATTGAACATTTTGGGAACTTGTGATTGGTTCCACTTCCAATGCCTTCTGGTGTTGATTTTGCGAAGTCACGCCTATTTGCTTATCGAGTTGTCGTACATTTTTTATCGAGTTGTAATTTGCATTCTTTAAGTCTTTGTTTTGCTTATTGAGTTGTATTTACACTTGGTTAGCTTGTCAAGGTCTTTGTTTTATTTATCGAGTTATTTTGTTGTTAGTTGGTTCACTACCTGATTAATTGCAATTCGAGTGTTTGGTTTTCAAAACAAAGTTCAATCTCATTTACATTGTTATGTAATGCGATGCGATGCATAGAATGTACAAATGTAGCACTTTTTGAACAAAATAGCTGTTTCATTTCATCATATATCTCTTGCAAAAGTACATAATTTTGAGAAAATAAAACCTGCCTGAGGTAGTACAATGTGCTCAAACTACTAGCAAAAAAAAGGAAATAAAGCAAAAAGGAAAAGAAAAGCAACAAAATGTCTGAACAAAGCTAAAAAGAAGAAAAGCAGCAAAAGTCTGGATCAATATTAGTCATTTCGAGTGCGAGAATCCGTCCTGGTCCTCTTCTTGGACGAGGGTCCAGGATCACCACTGCTGGCTCCGTAGTCAGAGTCTGAGCTGTCTCCGGCCTCACCCTGGGACGCCGCCGCCTCCTCATCAGAATCATCAAGGGAGGGCTCTCATGAACTGCTCTCAGCACGGGCACGCCTGTGTCTGCCTCAGCTGTGGATCGTCATCCTCCGCCTGACTCCCCCTCCTCCTCGAGTAGGTATAGATGGTCCAGCTGGAGCACCTCCCGTGGCCGGAATCTGGAATGGGGCCTGAAAGGAACAAATGGCAAATGCATCAATTATGCTACGCAAAGCAGGGTATGAATACCGAATATAGCGTGTGAGTACGGTGTATGAATGCTGTGGGCAATGTGTGAGTACGATGTATGAATGCTGTGAGCAATGCTGTGGGCAATATGTGAGTTCAAGTGTATAAGTGCTGTGAGTACTGTGTATCAAGTGCCGTATCGACAACGTGGTATATCAGATCAATATGAAACAGATCATGCAAAGTTTGAGACTGCGGTTGAAAGAACTTACCGGAATCCCGTAGATGGTGAGTAGGTCAATGCTTCGCTACAGCATCCCTATCACGGAAGCCGTCAGCTCCAAAGACTGCCTAGTATACTCGATGGAAGCCTGCAAAAGTGTTGAAATCATTAGTATTCTATGAGATATCAAATGAAATGAAATGACTGTACAGAATGCAAAGCATAGTAGTACATACCGGGGTTGAGCCGTAGACTCCGATAAGCTCATGATCAGCTGGAGGAGGAGCGATGGGTATCTGGTACGTTTCCCCACCCTGTCCTCGGCATGTCATCGTCGTAGGCAGCTCTGGCCATCCTGCTCCCTGTCCTCTCCGGGACCCATTCCTCCCACAGGCCGGAGGCGCCCTCAATGCTCCTGCTCCTGCCGCTGGCGCTGCAGGCCTCTCTCTCTCGGCTCGGCGAGGACTGGTCAAAGGTTGCATGAGATAAGCCTGGATGAACTCGGTGTAGTCGCCCTCGTCTCTAAAGGGCTCGAAGTCCCAACCAAGCGTATAGTCTATCATCTCCTTCCTCGGCATGTCATCGTCGTAGGCAGCTCTGGCCATCCTGCTCCCTGTCCTCTCCGGGACCCACTCCTCCCACAGGCCTGAGGCGTCCTCGATGCTCCTGCCGCTGGCGCCGCAGGCCTCTCTCTCTCGGCTCTGCGAGGACCGGTCAAAGGTTGCATGAGATAAGCCTGGATGAACTCGGTGTAGTCGCCCTCGTCTCTAAAGGGCTCGGAGTCCCAACCAAGTGTATAGTCTATCATCTCCTCTAAAGTATACCTCTCGGTGTTCCTTGTGTGGGTAGGAGGAGGTGCTGGAACTGTCTGCTTTGGCAAGCCCAAGGTCTGTTGCAAGAAGCGCTCCTCGAAATACCATGCCTGATAGATCGGGCCCTCCAGCAGAACCTTGAACCGGGCAGTCCCCCGAGCGCCCGCATACTGATCTCTGACCGCCTCTGGCAACGGGGCCCAAGGCGGCTAGGTGATCTGCAAATGATATACGGTTTTGTTATCTACTATTGAAAGTACAATGTAAAGCAAAGCTTAAATGAACTCTAAAGTTTGAAATACCTCTGTGGCGATAATGGTGTCGAAGTATCGTCGGAAGAACATAAAGGACTCTCGGGGCCTCCGCTCGCACCTCACATTGAATCAGTGAGAGAACGGAACGCCGAGAGGGATCTCCTCATCCGGCATTGGGGCAAGCCTAGGAAAGTAGGCATACATCCACAACTGTAGAGTGTAACAGGGAAAATATTAGTATGCTTATCAGATAAAACAGAATGCAGATAAAGCAGAAATCAGATAATGTGTGTAGCGTGTTGTGCAGCGTGTGCAGTGTACAGCCAGTGTAAAGTAGATTGCATGTTTGCAGTGTGTGCGGTGTACAGATGATGCAAAGCAGAATTGAAAAGACAGAAAGGGAAAGTATACCTCCCAGGCTCGCCAGTATCCCCCAAGCAACTGTTCACTGCGGTGGGAAGATGAGCTCATATATCCGTAGAGAGTGGCCAAGCCTGTGCCACCCCAGTCATAGCGCTGGATCCTGGTCACATCCACCAGTGCGCTCAGCAAGTAAAGGGCGACAGTGTTCGCCCGGTCGGCGAAGAGGGTGGTCCCCAGCAGGAACATGATGAATCCGCGAGCATACTGCTCCACCTCCTCCCGAGTCATGGGCGCCTGAATCCTGAAGTGATCCTCAAACCAAGAGTACCTCACAAATCCCGCACGGGAGAGAGGAGGCTGAGCGCCAAGCAAGTAAATCTGTGCAGCGTCCCACTCGTCCATATCGGTGTCAAAAGGGATCGGATCACCCCCTACTCCGATGCCTGTGAGCATGGAGAAGTCAAAGGGAGTTATCGTCATCTCCCCGGTAGCAGAAAGGTGGAAGGAGTCGGTGGTGTTCCACCACCTTTTCACCAGTGCGCCCAGAAGAGCCCTACTCGCAGTGAGGCGCGAACGTCCCTTGCAAAAAACGCCGAAGCCAGCATGATCAACGATGTCACAGACCGCATCGGGCAGCTCTACGTACCAACCACGGGCGATGATGTTTCCATACCCCCGGAAGGCATGGAAATCTCCCTGTTTTCAAAACAAACATGTAGACGCGCCCTTGGGCTTTGCTACTACAGTTCGGACTCAAATGTCACGGTTTTGAATCTAATCCCGCAAAGTTCAATGCGAGACTGATAAATCACCAAAGAGTCCAAATCCGGCAAATCGTTTTGGAAAATTGATTTTTAAGAAAGAAGTGCCAAACATGGACTGCTTTGCCAAATACAGAGTTGCCGCCTAAATATTTATTTTGGGAGAATTTAGGAATCCCTGACTCGTTGCCTAAGGCCACGTGTCCGTCATCACCAAAGTTGCCTCGGCTCGGGAACTTGGGTACGATTGGGGAAGGTCATCGATGAGCACCCCCGCTTGCTCGATCAAAGATTGGCCTGTACTAAGCATGATATCTTGTTTTTGAAAACATATGCGTTCTTATTCCGCATATTAGCTAGAATTACTATGTGATGCGCACAACACACAAGTATAGACTAGATCGCCTAATTTGGAACAAAGCATCACCTATTCGTCTGTTTGAAAATGCGTTGGAGTTTGCTACTCACAAGTAGGCTAAAACACGGATTTCGATGAATTGTCCCAATTCAAGCAATCCAACCTTCACCCACAGGCATTCAGGCAGTTATATCATATAAGCAAATAGCCTCATGGTAAGCATGCTTTCATGTTAACACTCACATACATGCAAGATACTAAAGCATAAACACTCACAGTGTACTCCGAGCCAAAACAAAGAACTAGTTAGTAATCAACGCATGATCCTAGCTCATGTTAAGATGGCTAATGCAACTCAAGCAAAATGCAACTAGAAATAGGCTCAGCTATTCTAAGATGGCATATGAGATGCGACAATTTGATACATGTATTCAACTTGGAATTGAAATACAATGCAGTTAGTATGATGCGCCGAGCTCGGTGCATGCAATACAAATGAATGATGCAAACATGCAAGCATGAGATATGCTAATTGAAAGATGCCCTAAAACTAACCATCATAAGCAGTTAAGTAAAAGGGAGAAAGAAATGGGGGTTGGAAGACATGCATCACACATACGCACACTTATTACACAATTGGCCCTCTCGACGGAGGGATCGAAAGAATAATACAAATCACCTAATTAACCAACTAACAAGCTAATTAAACAAATTAATTAAGCTATGAAAAACAATAAAGCAGCCTCGGGAAGGGGGACAAATGCATGCTCGGTCGGCTTTGCTCGGAAATCCACTGCCATGCTACATGTTGCCTCTATTTGCACTGCTCTATACTTCTGAAAACTGTGCCAACTTCTGTGACACTGCCGAACCACCTTCGAGGTATGTTAAGAGGCCATCGGCCAAGAAGAACTGGTCATCGACCAAAAGTGGGGCTCTCGGCCAATAATTCTTAGTTGATCGGCACTGAAAATGGTCGATCGGCCATCTCTTCCTGTAAAAGCTGCTTTGCTGCAGCAGAGGACAAACAGGACATGGCAATTCATTTGCAGGACAATATTTTCACAACCACACTCCCTATCATGCCATGAACTTAAGGGAGTATGGTTCTCTACCCTCGGGCCACCAATCACGCATTTTAATGCATGATGGCCAAAGGTGCTGAGTGTGCAACTCAATATCAAATGAAATGCACATAACACATAAGGGAGGCCCTAACCTCTATCATGCTTGATCAAGAGGCAAGGGATGCACACACAATGCAATGCAACCTAAGCATGCAAGCAAGCATGCAAGCAACTCAAGTATGCAACAAATCTAATGCGACATGAGCATGTTAGCATGCAATATGCAATGTAATAGGTATGCAACAACAATACCAACAAGCAGCATGCCATGACATATAATCTAACAAACATGCAAGATTAATGATCATGCAACAACATGTCAATTAGCAAGCATGCAACAAGCATGTAAGCATAATGCAATAGTACTAGCATGCCACAACATGCAAAGGAACTAATATGAAATAGGTATACAACCTAAGCATGCAAACATGCATAGCATGTAACGACATGCAAAATGAAACAAGCATGCAACAACATGGTAAGATGGACTTAAACCAAAATGGGTAGCTCTCAAGTATGCCTAAATCAGTGGCCAAAGTGCTATGGAAATGGAGGCAAAGGTACACACAAACATGCATGCCAATATGCCAATTGGCCTATCACCTAGGCATAAAAGAGCAACTCTTAAGCACACTTAAAAGAGACAAATTTGGACATGTGAAAAACATGTTAAGCTCGGAAATCATGCATGGAAAGGTGCCAAACCAATCAAACTACACAAGTAAAGCATGCAAGAAAGCCCAAAGCTTGAGGCTAGCCAAGGGACTCAAACCATGGCCACACAACGCAAGCCCCAAAGGGCCAAGGGGACCTAAAACAGTCCCAAGGCAGGTCTAAAGAAGACCAAAAACAAGCTCGAAACTAGCCAACATAAGCTAGAACACAACGCCAAAAACATGAGGCATACAAGGCTACCAAAGAGGGTGTTACACTACACCTATCAAAACCAAACATGGCATGACTTAAGCCAATAAAATCAGAGTTATGGCATGTTAGAATGAGCCCAAAAACCCACTTAGATGGCATCCTAAAGGCCTAAGCATGATGGCATACACAATGATACATTCATGAGGCATAAAACACAAACTCTTTAAAACATTAAAGGAGTGATACGTGCAAGCATGTGATTATGAAACATGGACTAAAATAACATAAAAAGTGATGCCCAATCACTAAAATGGCCCAAGTAAAGAACATGGCATGATTTAGGCAATCAAAAACAGAGGTATGACATGCTAAAATGAGCCTAAAAACCTACTTAGATGGCATCCCAAATGCCTAGACATGATGGCATACACAATGACACAATCACGGAGCATAAAACACCAACCTTTTAAAACATTAAAGGAGTGATAAGTGCAAGCATGTGAGCATGAAACATGGACTAAAATAACATAAAAAGTGATGCCCAATCACTAAAATGGCCCAAGTAAAGCATGCTAGTGGCTTGGACACTCAAAGTTAACGAGCTAGAATGCATGGTAGCTATACAAAGCATGGCATATATGGTAAAAAAGACCAAAATTAGAGCTTAAGCATGTTACAGCAAGGCTAAAAGCTTCATGGAGTTGAGCCAAAATCATTCTAGAATAACATGTTACAACATGATGCATGTTAAAGCAAATGAGGAGATTGCAAGACAAGTATATGGAGCATGTAAGAGGCCAATAAACCAACTTGAAATAGAGGTATATCATGGCAAAATAACACCAAATACTTGCTGAAATGGAGCTAAAACAAGCTAAGCATACATGCTACCTACATAAGCCATTTATGCAAGCATTCAAGAAACAAGGAGAGGGGATGACCCTCTCCTATTTAAGACACCAAAACCACTTTTCCAGCACTAAAAATCCGCTGGATTTCAGTGGTAGAAAGGTC